ATGCTGGTATGAGCCACGCATGTTGATTCAGCCCTTCGGACCTTTCTTCCTTTTGGATAGGATTTCCTAGTCTATACCATTATGCTAATCCCAATTTGGAAAAGATAATGTATGATCCTTAATCGAGAGTTTTCTCGGGCTCCGGCCCGGGATGTAATTAACCACGGGGGCTTGTGCCCGTGGGAAACTTGGCCCCGCAATCTACTTTACCCCACTCGATCTCTCGTATCGAGTGGGGGAAACCCGTGACTAGGTCGTGTATATTGCTACCCATCGGGGATGTGTTGGTGAAAGCCTCTATCCCCAATGGTTAGTCATATGCACAATCCAATCTGTCCTTCCATCGACCCATTCGTGTCGAGCGTAGAGGCCTACGATCGTTTTGTCCTACGGGATAGTGCGGCCGTACCCTCTGCGTTCGTACCCCACGAGCGGTGCTCTTTCGGAGGTCCACAATCGATACAAGGAGACCTACTCTCATAAGTAGTCATCAAAACCTATGAAGCACTTGAAGAATCTGTTTCCAACAATGCTCGCAAGTATTAAGAGGAAATCTAAAGTTATATTAAATTATTGAATTAAAATTGTATGTATTAGGGGTCATATTTTGATGTAAGACAAACATGCGAAGAGTTGCTTTGGGATTGTAACAATAAAGATTGAATTTGCGCATTGCTAATTAGTAACTCATGTTTCAATCAAGTTAAATTCTTAGAACTTTTCGTTGGAAGATTAGATAATGGTAAGCCGTTACAAGAGGTTAGCAAGACAATTGCAATAACAACAAAAATTAAATAGTAGTACTAATGGCAAGTAATCAAGAATCCACAGCGTAACATCAAGATATGGTCACTTAGAGTTCATACTCACTCAATCACTCTTAGGCTTTAGCGGATGAAGAAGAAGCATACGATGAGAAAAACTGCCACTAGGAAGATGGTACCGAAGGTCTTTATTGATGGAGAGGTAGCCACGAACGTAGAAGGGGTAGATCTCCCAATAAGAAGCCAAGGCGTCTTAGGTTTTTGGATATCGATCGTCTCTGCTAAGCAATAGAGGATGCGCTTGACATATCTTTCCACCGTTTCGTCGTATTCCCAGTCAGGCTCGTAGAAGGGGGAGAGGAGGAAGTCGATTTCCCCTCGGTCGTTGTAAGCAAAACCGTGATCGACCTTAGGATCGGCCAAGCACCATAAGCATGAGGAGGAGAGAACACAAGGAGGAAGACAAAAAGAGAGAAAAGGGTGGTGGAGAGGGAGGCCGGCGGCTTGAATAGGAGGGAGAGGGGTGGGGACGGCTTGGAGAGGTGGGGAGGAGGCTAGGTTTTGCAAGAGCTTAGATTAGGTTAGGGTGGAGGTGTGGTTTAATCTAAATCTGAAATTAATCTCAGATTTTGAATAAATTTGGAGGGAAATAAGGATTTCAAATTAATTATAATTAAGGCATTGATTGAGGATTAATGGGGGGAAGCCATAGATGGGGCCGGCAACATGGAGAGAGAGGGAGGAGGGGATTATGGGGAATTAAGTGCTTCCAAATGAGCTTGGACAATTAGGAGGGAAAATAATGAGTCCTCAAATTAAATTTCGTTTGGATTTCGAATTTGAAAACTTTCCTTATTTATATTTCGCAAATAAGGAAAGTTTTTGAATTTCAAAATATGAATTTCAAAATTTACCAATTCCTTCCTTTAATTCTAGATCTAAATTAAGGACTCATTATGATGATTGAAATCATCATAATGGTTTGGCTAATGAGGATGGGGCCGGCGGTCCAAGGGTCTACGATTCCGTCGTCGGTACTTAAAGCGTCAAAAGTAAAGACGCAGAATCGTAGCCGTCGATCTACGATTCCGTCGCCGGTACACGTGTCTGAATCTCTGAGCGATGTCCTCATCATATTTATCACCCGAAAAGATCTAAATATAGTAATTTTTCTATAATACAATAAATTAAGATACTGTCAAAAACCACAAGTCTTCAAACTATTCCAAGCAAAAAGAACTCTAAATTTTTCTAGAACAGGCAAAAATCATTTGTACTATGTAGCACTCAAAGAATGTTTCCAACAATGCTCGCATGTGTTGAGAGAAAATCTTAAGTTTTATTGAACTACTAAATTAGTATTGCATGTATTAGTGGTCCTATTTATAACCCCCTAAGATCAAATATAGTAATTTTTCTAGAATACATTCAGATACAGTCAAAATCTACAAGTTTTCAAAATTTCCCAAGCAAAAATAACTCTCAATTTTTTAAAACATGCAAAAATCATTTGTCCTACATTAAAGGGATGAAGAAACCAAAGAAGGATCATTGATGGAAAGCGATCGCACATATTCTACATTCCAAGAAAAAGATGCCACACCGTGAAAGGTGTTTTGATTGCTACAATCTTGGAAGGACAAATAAGATCTTTTTGTTAAAATCTCAAGAGAACAAAAGGAAGCCATTTATTGCTATAGTTTGGAGAGAACATAAGGAAGCTATGATTGTCACAATCTCAGGAGCCATTAAAGGAAGTTATTGAAGGAAGAATAGCCAACTTATTACATCCTCGATGATGATCACTACATTAATTTTCGTAGTGAAGGATTTCACATCAATCTTTCATCTTGGGATATTTTGGCTCAAACATTGAGTATTGGATAATTGTCATTGAAATATGGGAAACACTATTATACTCTTGCAAGTTAATCCATGAATTATCATATACAAGCATGTCATCCTATGACACAATAAACATGTGGTATCTTGGGCTGCTAGTTTAGCTTGGAGATTGAATATCACTCAAAATTGAATCATTTTTTCTCAAGTCGAACTTGGCAAAAAGCAAGTGAGCCAAGCCATAAGCCAGATGTTTGGATCATACTTTTCTTCAATACAATTTCTTGCCATATGTGAATCTGCTTGATAAGGTTCGAAATTGGAATGATAATATATATTTTAAATAAAATGTATTATTAATTTACATATAACTATTCTTAGTCATATTTAGACAAATGTCATTATTAGTCCATGTGATGAGTCACATGCGTGGCTTATCACTTGCGATGTTCAACTGATCGGTTTTGAAACTTTAAATCTTCAACTTTTTTTTAGTTGTTTGATCATTGATCTACGACCCTAATAAAAAAGTTTAAAATGCTATCCTATTAAAAAAAACTAAAATAATGTAGCCTAAACCATTTCCCATTTCTCTTTGTTATCCTATGAGTCTTAGACATTCCAAAACTCCTCTAATTAGTATACCAAGGTAGGAACGGAGTAGCATGCCATAAAGAGAATTATTGGGAAAATAGTAAACACAAACATGGGGAAATAAACATAATATTATTCTCCTTTTAATGGAAATAAGTAACTAGGAAATCATGATCTTTGATTTAGTTTGTGTT